ACTGGCCTTTCTGATCAGCTTGTTGAGTCTGTTGGCATCGGCTACTCTCAGTCTGCTGCCCCAGCACACCACAGCAAACAGAATAGCACTGGCCACCACAGACTCATAAAACATCCTCAGCATAGTCCGGCAGATGTTAAAGGAGCAGAGCCTCCTCAGAAAATAGAGGCAGCTCTGTCCCTTCTTGTAAAGGACTTCAGTATTCTTAGTCCAGTCCAGTTTATTGTCAATGAACACACCCAGATACTTGTAGTGTTCTACGATGTCCACGTTATGCCCCAGGATGGAAACTGGGGTCACTGGTGTCCTCGTTCTCCTCAGATCCACCACCAGCTCTTTTGTCTTTGTTGTGTTGAGCTGCAGGTGGTTCAGCTCACACTATGAGACGAAGTTATCCACCACAGCCCTGTATTCAGCCTCCTCACCCTTGCTGATACATCCAATGACAGCAGAGTCATCAGAAAACTTCTGAAGATGGCAAGACTCTGGTAGCTGAAGTCCGTGGTGTAAAGGGTGAAGAGGAAAGGAGAGAGGACAGTCCCTTGTGGGGGCCCGGTGTTGCTGACCACTGTATCTGACACACAGTGCCGCAAACGCACGTACTGTGGTCGGCCAGTGAGGTAATCCACAATCCAGGACACAAGGAGGGGATCCACCAGCATCGCCGTCAGCTTGTCACCCAGTAGAGCAGGCCTGATGGTATTGAAAGCACTGGAGAAGTCAAAGAACGTGACCCTCACAGTGCTCTCCGGCTTGTCCAGGTGGGCATAGACGTGGTTCAGCAGGTAAATGAGGGCATCCTCAACTCCAATCCTGGGCTGGTAGGCGAACTGGAGGGGATCCAGGTGCGGCCTGACCATAGGCCTGAGCTGCTCCAGGACGAGTCTCTCCAGAGTCTTCATGATATGTGACGTCAGTGCCACCAGTCGGTAGTCTGAGAGACCGCTGGGCTGCGGCGTCTTTGGCACAGGAACGAGGCAGGATGTCTTCCATATCACAGGGACCCTCTGGAGGCACAGGCTCATGTTGAAGACACGATGAAGCACTCCACAGAGCTGTTCGGCGCAGGCTCTGAGAACCCGTGGGCTGACACCATCAGTGCCTGCAGCCTTACCGGCGGGGAGTTTGCTCAGCTGTCTCTTAACATGTAGAAGTGTAAAGAGTGCAGGTTGAGGAGGGGGGGAGTTGAAGTCCAAAGTGAGAGGAGGGCAGGTAGCATGGGAGCCAGAGGAGGTGTGAGGGGCTCATCAAGTTGGATGAGGTGCTATCAGGAGGAGGAGGGGGGGACAGAAGTGGTGGTGGCTGGAGACAGTCAGCAGGAGAGCCAACAGGGGCCGGGGCTGCAGTGTCAAACCTATTGAAGAACAGATTTAACTCATTTGCCCTAGCCACACTACCATCAGCTCCACCGCTAGTTGGTCTGTAACCGCTGATGGTCCTCACACCACTCCAGACCTCCCTCATGTTATTCTGCTGGAGTTTCCTCTCAAGCTTCCTCCTGTAGCCGTCCTTAGCCTCTTTGATCTTTGCCCTCAGCTCCCTCTGAATGTCCCTCAGCTCTTCCCTGTTGCCACCTCTGAAAGCCCTCTTCTTCTGGTTGAGTACGGCTTTGATGTCCTTTGTTACCCAAGGCTTGTTGTTTGGGTAACAACACACAGTCCTTGCTGGGACAATGCCATCCACACAGAAATTAATGTAGTCCATAATGCTCTCAGTAAGCCCATCAATGTCCTATCCATGTGGCTCACAGAGTACATTCCAGTCAGTCACCTCAAAACAGCCCTGCAGTACCTCATAGCAGTCCTCTGACCATGTCCTCACTGTCTTTGTGGTCACAGGCAGCCTCTTCACTAGAGGCACATAGCAAGGGGTGAGAAGCACCAAGTTATGATCTGATCTTCCCAGCGGGGGAAGGGACATGGAGGTGTATGCGTCCTTTACATTAGCATACAGCAGGTCCAGGCTCTTCTCCTCTCTGGTTTTACAGGTCACAAACTGGGTAAATTTCGAGAGTGTCTTTTTAATAGAGACATGGTTGAAGTCACCCGAGATTATAATGAGAGCACTCGGGTGTGCAGTCTGTAGTCCGGCTATTGTAGAGTGGATGACGTCACATGCCGACGTCAGGTTAGCGGACGGGGGGATATAAGCAGCCACTACAATAGCATGTGAGAATTCACGGGGTAAATAGTAAGGACGGAGGCCCACAGCTAACAGTTCAATATCCGGGCTGCAGATGCGGTCTTTGACTGTGATGTGACCAGGATTGCACCACCTGTTGTTCACGTAAACAGCAAGCCCACCTCCTTTACGCTTACCGCTCTTAGTGCAGTCCCTGTCAGCCCGGACAATGTGGAAACCCACGGTGGAAACATTGTGGTCAGGAACATCCGTGTGTAGCCATGACTCCGAGAAAATCATCAGACTACACTCCCGGTATTCCTGATGACTCCGGGTTAGCGCTGTAAGCTCGTCCATCTTATTCCCCAGTGATCTCACGTTGCCCATGATGATAGATGGGAGACACGGCTTGTATGTCTTCCTCTCCATAAGTCTCCGGTGTTTCGCTCCTTTCCGCCGCCGTAGCGATCCTTTACCTCTGCATCCCCGGTGTGTTTTCCTCCAAAGTTCAGCAGGGATATCCTCCATCACCGTAGCCAAGCCGGCCGGCTTCAGCTCCATCAGCTGATCCCTGGAGTAAACAACGCGGTGTTGCTGAGCGACAGTCGAGTGGCAGAGTAAAAGGAGCGATTCCACCACGAGCGAAACAACAAAAACTCTCCACACAAGCATGATTAGAGAGGACGTAGCTTAATAAATAACTAAAGTAAAAACAGAACAAGTAAGATAAAGAAGAGAGGAAAAAAGTTGAAAACAAAGTTAAAGTAAACAGGAGGGACTGGAACAGGCTGCATACACCGCGGTGCATGCGCACACTATATAAATGAAGCTAGAAATTTGCAGCTGAAATGTATGGTTTGCATGTAGGCTAATATCAAACATTCCAGTTGTTAACATTAGCTTTCAAGTAACCCTGTTTGAGACGGGAACAGTGGTTAGCAAGCCAGCTACAGCATATAGCATTCTCACTGGCGATTTTGAAGGCCGCAACAAATATCTGTCCATTAGTTTTTTCCTTTTTGAAGCTAACAGTTAGGCAAATAGTGATCCTGCAGGATCCCCAGTCTTTGCAAAATGTGATTCTGTGACTAAAAAGTCTCTGACTCATGATCCAATGTCTTTAGATGTGAGGTGTCAGACTTGAGTCCTTTAAAATCTATTTCAAAGTATTCGAGTGTGTGGTAGGCATTAATAACCTATAAAGCAGCATAGATTCTTTTAAATGCATGAAAATGCATCACACTTTAATTAACACCAACAATGAAAGGGTATGATGAACCATGTATTATTAAAGATGCAATATGTACCTCACTTTACTAACACATACAATGAAAACTTATGATGTTATGTATGTTTATGAGTGTAGTCATAAAGCATTATAAATGCACTATAATTCACCATGGATGTCCTCATAATGTAGATGTGGTCTTCATGGAGAGTGTTACCAAATTAATACTTAAAGACATGTATGTAGTTTGAACTTCTTGATTTTGAAAGTGACATTTTTTTTTAAATGCTGCATTGGACTAGAGTTGCTAGTTAGCCAACACTTTAAGTGAGGCTGTGGTAGGCCCTGTTAACAATTAGCCTACAGAATAATGAAAAAAGTAGGCCTATACAAGGCCCAGCAAGCAATAGTCGTGATTTAAACGTATTGGCTATATTTAGCTCTGATTTAGTCTAGCTACATGTAACCAAAATCTAGACGATTTAATTTTGAAATTGATTAAATGTAATATTCACCATTGCAGATGGAGTGCGGTATGATATTCAATCACGTATGGAGAGTCAACAGTAATTAAAATATGTTTATCTCCATTTTTTGGACATGGTCTCTACATAGCCGTATAATTGATGATGTCTACACTTTGGCTATGGTTAGACGTCTACCAAATTTTCACTGACAGCCCACATTCAGCCGTGATTTAGCCTAGACGTCAGGTCTTCATGTAGACGGCTATTAGACGTTTTTTAAAACAAAAAATGCTTGCTGGGGGAACAAAGCATCCTCTGCATCTTGGAACCGAAGCCACCAAACCCAACACTTTCTCATTCCCGACTTGTCAAATATCGCTGTTTGGTCAGCGGACTTTTACATCTACATATGAAGCGCTAGGTATCCCTCTGCATCTGTTGTTGATGTTCCGAGACCCCGTGTCAATTTACGCTTGTTACATGCACAGTGTCTTTTAAAAATACACTTCTGTTTTCACAGGAAATGTACAGTTTCTGCTCCTAAGATGTAAACAATATTTATTAAAATAATCTTACAAGGTCTGTAAAACACCTCATATTTACATTAATTTTCTTGTGCAACAAAGGCACGTGGTTAAGTTTAGAAAAAAACAACATGGTTTGATTTGGACCCATCCGCTCCTTTAAAGCTTTTTAAATTATGTTGTTATCTGGCAGCATTTTCTAACTGACGCAGTTATACATTAACACTGCCTTGCCACAAAATGATGGGTTTTTTTGTGTTGGTGAATGAATGAATATATATATATATATATATATATATATAGCAGTGGAGATATCCTTTGAGATTAAAACAGCAAGGGTCAGGAGGCACACAGGCATGCACAGTGTGGATGATGTTAATCTGTTCACACTTACAGCTGCCAAACTTGAGAGGACATGAGTGAGAGTCCATGGGGAAGTCTTCAAGGTGCATTGGACACTCAGCTTGAACTGTTAGCCTGGCAGTACACACAGACAGTTTATTTAATTAAATAAATACAGAGAGCAAAATTCTTTTCTTTTCTGCACTGTTCAGTGTTGTATATAAGGTTTTAAAGGAATTCTTCACCTCCCAAACAACCAATTGTATGTCAGTTACTCACTGCTTGTTCTGATAAATTTGTGAAAAAAAGTAGAGGTAGTCTGTGTTTAACAGCAGCAAAACTGTATTAAAGCATTTGTTTGCAAACTCACACGACTCATGCAGTACAATCCAAGTCTCATTTATCCAGTCATATACTCAGTATTTCACAAACTTGCATTTTTGCTATAACTACAATATTTAAACATTTCCACAGTGTCACACAAGGATGAGAAGCGCGCCTGGGCTGTTTATGCAGAAGTGTTTTAAAGGTCCAATGTGTAGGATTTAGGGGCATCTACTGGCAAAAATGGAATGTAACATTCATAATGATGTTTGTATTTGTTTACAATCACCTGAATATAAGAATTGTTGCATTTTCTGTACCTTAAAATGAGCCATTTATATCTACATACAGAGCAGGGGCCTGTTTCAGATATCAGGGTTAACAAACTCTGAGTGTAACCCTGAACTCTGAGTTGATGAACCCTGAGATGGAAACTCAACTCTGAGTATGTTCACTCAGAGTTAAGCTTGTGTGCACTGAATGAAAAAAGCCATCAGTGGTAAATGGTTAATGGACCTGCACTTATATAGCACCTTTCTAGTCATCCAAACACTCAAAGCTTTTTTTTACACGAGAGTCACATTCACCCACTCACACACACACATTCATGCATTCTCATGTATCCCATGTAATCATGACCCAGTAATCCGTGCAATTCCAAGCAGTCCACGAAGGAGACAGGCTGTGGTGGTGGATGGATTACAAAACACAGAACTGTCCCCAGGAGACCAGTGTTTGGAACAGTGTGAATCTTGAGTTAATTTTTAGTCATTTCAAGGTACGTCCTCATGGCATCAGCCACTGTAGGTCTCCTACATGCTTGGCACACAGGAGAAGTTTCAGTTCGGCAATGTCTCCTCTAAATACCACTAAATCCTTCACACTGGATCTTTATGTAGTAAGGTTTTAGCAAAAAATGTATGTGTTTGGAAAGTACTGAGGATATGACTGGATCAATGAGACTTGGATTATACTACACAAGTTGTGTGAGAGTTTGTTAAGGGGTGCTTTGAGATATTTTTGCTGTTGTTGTTTTGCAGTCCTGTATGACTTCAATTCATCAAGAATGGTCTCTGTATTTGGATTCTTCATTCACCATTGTGCACTGCCAGAAAAACAAAGCTTTCTTCCTGAATCCAAGGTAACAGGTGGTGAGTAATAGATCATTTTGTGAATGAAGTATCCATTAAGACCACTTTTCTTTACAACACAACTTAATTATCTCACTAACATAACTAATGTCTATGGCTTCACCAGCTGACAGTTTGATACAGCTGGGAGGTGTGGAAAATTATTGTCATAAAATGTGAGCTAACAAGCATAGTGTCACACTATTGTCACACTATTGATTTTGGCTATGAAGGTGTATTTTCTTTGAGGGCTGTGGAAGGGCACCTCTGCTTTGATTTTAAGTCCCCTTATTATCCAAGCCAATATGTCAACTGTAAATTTTAGTTATTGTGTTGTTATCGTGGCCTCCCCGCTATTAGGTAAGCAACCGTCCACATCAGAGAGTAAATGTAATTTATAGAACTCTAGTTTCTTAACAGTTTTATTAGCTATACCATTGTTATTTAATAACTGGAGGCAAGATTATGGACTCTGTTTTCTGAAACAAGGCACAGACCAAAAATTGTCTGTGCCTATGTTTATACTGCCAGCTGTAGAGCCACAGTTGCTATGGCAATGTCAATCGCTAGCTTTGGTCCATAATGAAAAATCTCAGCAACTATAGACACTTTTTGCATTTGTAAACAGCGTTGATGTATTTTGTGGGCAGAGCCGAACTGGTGGCAGAAGGGCACAGTGTGGTGTCAGGGTGAGACGTCCTCATATAAAATAATGTCCAGCTGCAACTTCACTGTTGAAGTTCACTCTCACAGGTGTCATAGTGTTGTATCCAGCAGCAGGAAGCTATTTTCAGCAAAAAAAGCTCTGATAAACCTACTATACCCTACTTGCTCAGCAGCAAACAGTAGACAGACACAGTTAGAGACTAGTTGGCGAACATATTGGAGCTTTTAGCAGCTAGAGCTGAGTGTTTTTCTCAGGAGTTGGTAGGGACCAAAAACAGAGCTAAAAGAGAATAATAATAATAATAATAATAATAATGATGACGATAATAATACATTTTATGCATATTGCATTTTTATGCAATCAGGTGGCCCCCAACATGACTTCAAATAAAATGATCATATTGGTCTGTAACTGCTGGATTTTTAAAAAAGCAACACCTGCCCTATCAAATTAAAAGACGATGATATGTGAATGCCTCATTCACTACCTGAGACCGCTGACCCCAAGTAGTCAAAAAAATCACTTATTGTAGTTCAAATCCATGTACATATCAAAGTACAGTGAAAACTCTCACTGTCACCTCAATTTCACAAACAAGTTGTACGCAGCTTTTCAAGAAGCTGTATGTACTGATAGACTGATTCCTTGTCCATCTGCCTGACTCTATACTGTGTGTTCCTGGAGTGATGGCTGCCAAGTCACATAAAGGAAACTGCCGTTTGGCTTCTTTCAGTGTGTGATTTTGTCCTTTTTTCTTCTTTTTTTGTGGAGAGTTCAGATGTTACCCACTGCCTTAGAGGATAAATGTAAGCAGTGTCAACATAGCTGAAAAAAAGTGGCTGTGTTGGTACAGATCTAGTTAGTCATGATCAGAAACAAGCAAGAAAGAGCAGGAACAACCCCAGTGTTAAATGAAACACAGGTGTAAAAAAAGCCCTATAAATCTCCTTTCTAAAAAAAAAAAAAAAAAAAAATTCATAAAATTGCTCTTGGGAAGACGCTATGGAGCTGTTGCAGCAACCAAGAACATTCACAAAACGTCTTTAATATCAACTGGCACTGGAATCATGTCTGTTGTTTTTGTCTGTACTGTGCATGTTATGTTATTTATTGTATATATTTCATGTTGCTATGATCTGTTTTAACCAACTGGTGAAGCTGAAGGCAAATTTCCACAGAGACAGAAATGAAACCCCGCTCACCGCCCGGACCAACTTTCTCATTACAGCTAAACAGTATGCAAAAATATGTTTTGCAAAACATTTAAGGTGAGAAACAGGCAATGCTGTAGCAGAATCCTGATTCATATTTGATCAGCACTGCCTAGCTTGACAGTTTGACCACAGTTCATGAGCAATGATTAACATAATTAATAGCTGCGTTAGAGACTCACTGGTCGTGACTGGTTGTTTTCCTTCAGCTGTGGTGAAAATGCAATTAGAGGCACTATGAGGACGAGGAAGAGGAGACACAAGTGCTTCAAGTGGTGTCTGGACTGACACCCCCTGTACACTGTCTAGACAGATGAAGCAAAAACTTGTAACACATTTGAGGTTCTTGGAGAATGATGATGATGATGATGTAAACTTTCTGTGGATTCAAAGAGCACAGTGGGACAACTGAAGTAACATGTTTTGATGGATGCTGCTGTCAAAAATGAAACATCGGTTCTTGAAACGTGAGACTGATCCCAGCTGTAGTTTGATCACTGTAATGGAGACATCCAGGACAATGACATAAGATTTCTTAGTAAAAAGGAATTGTTAGATTAGATTAACATGCTAGAGCTAATGGTGCCATATGAGAAACATATGGGGAAGGCCTCCAAATGCAAGAAGGTCAAGTATGTATTAATCCTGCATGTCTGGGGAGGTTGGGTGCAGAAGTTGCTCTGCAAAGCCTTCACTGTAGTAACAGACGCACAAGAAAGAGGAAGACACCTGGGTGATTGTGTCTGATGCTGAAAGACCAAAAACTAAACTGGCCCGAGACATCACCAATTCTATGTCCTAGCAAGGCATCAAAATATGCCTGGTATTATGTGGCAGTCAGTGTTTTGTCTGTGATGATCCAGTGTCAGCATGTGTATAGAGTACAATTATGTCCCAAGTTTGGAATTCTGGGGAACTCCACAGGTCATAGTTGCATTGGAAGAGCTAGAATCACCAATAAGAAAGATGGAAAAATATTTTGCAGATATGATTAAAACCAATTAAAATAAACCCAGTTTTTTTTTATCCAACACATTATACCATTAACACTGACTAGAAATAAAGAGCTGTTAAAACTGGGTAAATGAACATTTATTATCACTTGCATCGTAGAAGTAGGTACCTCATAGTATAGAGCAATGTTCCATCCTCCATGATCCTCAGCAGCTTGTTAGGCATGGTCATGTTGTGAGCAACAGATTTCTTGCCGTTATGGAAGAAGGTGTCAGGGGTCCAGATCTTACTGGCCATCAGATTGTTGAGAGGCAGAATGTTCATTGGTCCATGGAATTTCAATCGCTCATCCTTCCAGCTCTGACGGAAGAAAACATCAACAGTGTACTCCTGACGGAGAGAAACAGCAGGGACAGCAGTGTTAAAAGGAGCTGTGGACCCCTGGACACCTATGTGTGGATATATTGACTTGTCAGCAGGAGAAGCACAGGTGTAAGAGATCATTTTATGTTAAGCATCAGTGATGTTTTGTTTTGTTCACTTTCAGGGTGTCAGCAAGCAGGCCAGCATTTGACATGCCATGACTCTGGCACCAGTGCACCTAAAAAAAAATGTGCTTGTCCAAACATCAAAGAGCATCTTCTTCCACACCTTTTTATAACTTTCCAAAACTAACCTGGTGTGTATGGGTTTCAACTTCTATTTCAAACTCTTTTTAAGTCTTTACACAATGACTCTTTGATTGATGGCAATCATGCCTAGAGTGTAGGCTAGTTGATGAGGACGTACCAATTTTTCTATTATTGTTATGTCTTCCAGGCGCAGTCTGATGGGGATCATGCATTTGGTTGTGTGTGTGTGTGTGTGTGTGTGTGTGTGTGTGTGTGTGTGATGCATGTACTTGTCTGTCCACAGTTCATCTTGTAAGCTCCTGGACTAATCAGCCTAATATTTTGTGTGCATATTTATAACTGTGTGTTCAAAGATCTCTCGTGGTTGCAGTGAGTCTGTTGAAAAACCCATTTTATTGACTGCTGTATATCGTCATTGACTGCTGACACATCACTCATCTTAACAGGCCAACAGAGGTCAGTTAAGAGTTTCCTGGAAATCAGCTCAGCTAAAAACTGTTGCAGGCCACATTTTGGCCTTTGTCATGGCTCAAAAATTGAAATCCATAGGAAAGTTTGGTATCACTTTAAACCGGAGCATCTGCAGATTAATTCCATACCTGATATATTATAAGCCACTAGGCACAATATGAGATAAATTAGTCCATTGTTTTTGTCATCCTGACCACTATATTTACTGTAAGGGAGCCAGGAGAGACAATTCCAACGTGCACAGATGCACTGCGTTCCAGTTGCATTCAGGTTTTGTTGATTTGGTCATTTTGCATTGGTATTTGTGCTTCTACCAGTAAGTAGGCAGGTAAACATTTTCTTTTCTGTTTTGGAAAAGTTTACTTCACTAGCACATTTCAGAGACAAAAGCAGTTTATTTTTTTATCGATACAGTCAAAAGTCCAGTTATGAACAACATAGATGGCTGTGTTTTAGTCTAGATTCTCTCACACGCTGTATGTACATATATCTACTAAAAGTCATCCATCTCAACATGTATATAACCCACATAATCAGGAAGGCTGACCAATGCGCAGGATGACAGGAGTTGGAGGTAGTATGAAGAGAGAAAGTCCGGATTTCTTACTCTTGTGATGTGTGTGAAGTGTTGCATAACTAAAACTGAGCAATAATTGAGCAGTAAGTTGTCTATTAATTCCACTGAGAGACTAAATCTGTGAAATCATACATGTGGGTACATTGTGTTTTCAAATCAGTCATGTCCTGTTGTCCTGTTGTGTCTCCAGCCTCAGATGGAGTGTGTCGCGTGATGGCGGCTTGGCTGAGCGCGACACCTGGCCGGGTTCAGACCTGTCTGTCAGTCTTAGATCCAGCTGTTCCCTGAGGCAAAGTGTCAGCCATGGTTTAAATCAATATCACTGAGGCCTTCAGTCCCTCCAGCCGTGTGGAAACATCTCTCCCTCACTCTCATTACTCCACATCAAAAACCACATCACACCCTATGAGTTAGCCATCTTTCTACCATCAGAATCTTTGGTTTTGACATGGCAGGCAGCAATGTTTAAAAGATAAGTGCAGAGAAAAAAAATAACTGCTTTAGTATAATATCGATTAGTAATTACAATTTTATTACCAGCTAGAATAAAATATAATTGTCTTATAAAATCTGATTATGAAAAGGTAAACTATATTTACATACAATGAACAAGCAACCCCTCACAACTGTGTGAACTATGACTGTTGTGTACCAGTCAAAGTATTTCATTGTTCAATTCAATTTTATTTATAAAGCCCAATATCGCAAATCACAATTTGCCTCAGAGGGATTTACAGCATACGACATCCCTCTGTCCTTAGGACCCTCACAACAAATAAGGAAGTTTACTCTATTAAAGTGATGTGTAACTGTGTAAAAATTAGCATATGAATTATTGAGTTATGGCCAAAATCATGTTTTTGAGGTCACAGTGACCTTGACCTTTGACCACCAAATTTGAATCAGTTCATTTTTAAGTCAAATTTGAGGAAGTTCCCTCAAGACCTTTTTGAGACATCGTGTTCACAAGAATAAAAAAAGGTGCAAGGCCACAGTGACCTTGACCTTTGACCACCAAATTCTAATGTCTTCATTACTGAGTCCAAGTGTACATTTGAGCCAAATTTGAAAAAAAAAAATCCCACAAGGTGTTCTTGAGATATCTTCATGAGAATTAGACAGTTGAGGTCACAGTGACCTTATCCTTTAACCTTTGACCACCAAAATCTGATCACTTCCTTGTTGAGTCCAATGGGATATGTGTGCCCCAACCCATTCCCCAACAAATAAAAACATGCTGGTGAGAATCATCTGCTGCTTGCAAACAAACTAATTATGTTTACAATCAGTCTTACTCACCAAAACACATTGTGCAACACATTATACATAGTACATTTCCTTCCTCATGAAACATTTACAAAGTCGATATTCTGAGTATGTAAAATCAAGAATTGTTTACTTTCATGTTTACTAGCTTTCAGTTAGTCTTACCTGCCTTTACTTTCACATTGTAGCATATCTGTGTGTTACTGCTACCTGTTGATCAGTGGAGTAGTGCAACACCATTGGTGAGACTGTGCATTGCATCATCCAAATGCCTATGCACAGGAGAGACACTGCTAATTCCATCAGGAGCAACCCATAGCAACCACGCGTAACTCCAGTGATTGAGCATTGGGCTGTGAGCACTTCCAAAACATGGGTAGACCTACACATGGTACTGTGCACATGCTGTTTTAACACTGTCTAACACTAAAGAAGTTGATTTTTTTTCTTTTTTTGCCTCAATGTAGAGATGACAAATTAGATAACATGAATTTATCATATGAATCATTTTGTCATAGTGCTTTGTAACTGTTTTAGAGGGTACTGAAAACTTTGAAATCCAGAGCAAAACTAACCGGTTCTTGCCTCCGCAAACCAGTTAAGTTGCAGTTACAGTTTATGTCCATGTCTGTGAAAACATGGATGCTTCACACACACATCTTCCCCACGGCAGCACAGAAGATCTATACAGTCAGCAGAGTTTCAAGGTGGGGACCCAAGATCAGCGTCACCCATTGAGGTGACCAGTGAGGTCACAGTGACCTTGACCTTTGACCCTCCACCACCAAATTCTAACCAGTTTATTCTTGAGTCAAAGTGAACATTTGTGCCAAATTTGAAGAAATTCCTTTGAGGCCTTCAAGGTCACAGTGACCTTGACCTTTGATCATCAGAATCCAGTCAGTTTGTTGTTGACATCAAATGACTCCTCCTCAAGGTCACTTTGCGCTGTGCTTATACTGCGGTTACAGCAGATATCAGGATGGCGTTGTCACAGAAGCATAGCCCCCACCGTCCAGTTCCCCCCCGGATGACACCGTTAACTCTGTCAGCACTGTTGCTGACAGGAGCATGAACATTCTGAAAACAGTGTGCAGACAACTCATATGCACTGAAATTTGAATAGAGCTCATTTTAAGTTCTTTTTTGGTAAAATGAAAATGGCAACAGGAAACCCCTATTTATTTTTTCACCCACCTGAGACTCATGAATCAGAATGTTAATTTTTATGACCCAGCCAAACCGCAGATATATCAGGAATCCCATATCACTAGCAAAGACAGAGATGGGGTTGAGCAAAAGTGTCCCAATGAAGAACACAGTGAAACAACATTGTGGTGTGACCCACTTAATTAACTAAGTGAAAACACAAATGAGCTAAAAACAAACAATAAATAAAACCAAAGAGCAGGAAAAGGCAGATTTCTATATCTGGCAGCTCCTCATCTGGCACCAGAAGTCAGTTAGTAGCGGATGGTAGCTTAATAGCCAAAAATGCAAAACACTAGTTTCCTCCCAATTTAATGGTTAACAAAAAAAGAAAACAAAACGAAACAAAAGAGCTTTGAACCAAGTCAGGGTCGTGTCCCGAAAACAGATCTGTGAAATTACCATTTGGGCTGGAAATTGCCAAATCACCTGTTTCCTCTTGATTTAACTATTAACTCAATATTATAACTAAAGTAGCTGTTACCAAGATTTTACCAAATTATGACCTTTATAATTACAAGTTTGTAGCTCTCCCTCCCTTGACCTTTCTTTGATCACCAAAATCAAATCAATCTGTTGTTGAGTCCAAGTTAGCGTTTGAGTGGCCTTTTGACCTATGATGACCAAAATCTAATCAGTTTATCGTTGAGTCCCAATGGACATTTGTGCCAAATTTGAAGAAATTCCCTTAAGGTGTTCTTGAGATATCCCGTTCAAGAGAATGGGACATCATAATCATAATACATACATCATGGAAAATAATTTCTCTCAAATGGGAACAGAACTTAAGAATGATACTTGATGGGATTTACACAAATAAAGTAAGGGGTGGGAATAAGACAGGAAAAAATGAATCAGGACTGAGTAGAACAGGGATGACATCTGGCTTCTTTGTGTAGCTGGAAATATTGTTTGGCAAAGACTAAAAAACTAAATTATTCAACATTGTGTAACATCCTTATAGGTCAAACTCTGTATTCTTCTGTCCAACATCAGTGTGTTGTACTCCCCTGACTTCATTTCCACAAAGGATACAATTCCCCTAGCACACAGTGCAAATTTACTTTAAAATAAATTCACATTCATTTTTAATATAAGCCTATAATGCAAGGGAAGTGCAGACCTTTGTTGGTTAGGAACTGGGTAACAAAGGTGGGTAGAGCTGCACACTCACAATTACATAGGTAATAAACTATTAAAATCTTTGTAACAATCAGTTTGGTGATAATATTGGG